ATACGGACCTCATGATTAGGCAGAGTGCTGTGAGCAAGCTTAATATGTGTCTCATGTTCAAAATCCTTAAGGCCCGTGAAGAAGGCGATTTTCTGAAGGCCACCCGGCTTGCTCAATTGCTTCGGTTGGTTTAGTTCCTTAATCCTCATATTGTTCATTTTGCTTTTCCATGCTAAAGTTAAAGGGAAATTCTGCTATATTATTTCTTTTTATGCTATCTATTTTGCAAGACAAACTTGAACCGGCAGAACGAGCAAAGGCAGGGATCTATATAATGGACAGATAAGGAAAAATTGTCAATAGGATTAAGCTAGCTATTATTATGTTTTATCTAGTGATACCATGTGTTGCATCTTGCATGGTGCTTGCTATCGTTAAACTCTATTTTTCATTTCAAGTTTTAATGTTTTGAATGGCGAACTTTATATATTGAACTCTATATATGGTTGTCATGTTAAAATGGTTTACTGCTTTAAAACTAAGTATATTAGGCTCAACCTGTACCATAGCTGCATCGGCTTGCTGCATACTAGGCTTAATAAGCTGCTTCTGTTCCATAGAACCTTTAACTACCCACATCTTCTTAGTTTTAGCCTTATAATTCCTTTCCTCATGTCCAATGTTACCACAGTTTCCATAGCGCACTGGGACCATTCAAAGATTACTGGTTGCTGGAAAAAACCCTTGGGCCCAACTACAAGTACCACCTGTGGTAACTCCTCCATAATCTCAACTTCCACTAGCATCCTAGCGAAAGACACTCGTTGCCTCTTAGCAATCAATGCATCAGTAGCAATAGGAACACCCAGGTAACTGGCCATTTTGCCTAAGCTTTAAGGATTCCAAAGACTCAAATGCAAATTAGGAAACTGAATCCACACGGGTATCTTGCTAACATCAAGGTTCTTAGGATCAAAATCAGGGGTCCATTGTTTCAAAATTAGAGGATGGTCCTGAAAAGTCCATCTCTTTTCTAAGACAGCCTACTTTGCCTCCCCATCCGCAAAATCAAACAAAAATACACCATTCCTAAGGAAAAAAACCTTTGGTACTTGGAATTCCTTCCATCTATTATTAGCATAATTAGCCATATCCTTGAAATGAGGCTTGCATCCAAGGACATAACCAACTAAAGCATTCTCCCATACCTTGGAACCTTGATACCATTCATCCTTGGTTATCACCACAACACCAGAGGGGTTTTGAGGTTTTACATACTGCAACTCCCATCCCTTCCTAATATCCCTATTTCCTTGCACTACCGACGACCAACTTTTAACCAGCTTCCGTAGTGGCTGAGTCAGTACTTCATCCTTCTCTCCATCAACCAAATCAATCCACCGAACTCTAGGAGTCTCAGTCTTTACACCCGAAGAACTAGCCCCATTGGTACCAATTAAAAGCTTAGCAGGGGATTCTGGAGATTGGGTATCTAAACCCACTACCCTTTTACCTTCCCTCTTCCCCTCCTCTAAATTAGTGAGAACCTAGGTTACACAGCCTCCTTTCTAGAGTCAATTGCTGTCGCCTCATCCACCCCAGTATCCCTAGGATTTGACTACAACTCACCCACCTCCTCTACCACAAGACCCATAAGCTCAAGATCCCTTGCAACGAGCTTTACTACCTCTACTTGCTCCTTAACAGCATCCTCAATTGAACTATTCTTAGCATCATTCTCAACACTTTTTGTACCAGTAACCTCCTTCGATCGACCTCCCTTAAGTGGGGCATCCTTCTTCTTCCTACCTCTACCACCCATTCCTGGCGTTTTCAGCAAACCACCATGCCTGCGTACGATAGCAAAAAGAAGTTATCGTGTGGCTGTAGAGTAGTTAACAGAAATGAGCTTTTAGATTGGTGTTTTTTCCTAGGCAAAAGGTACCCGTTTATCCCTTAACTTTTAGACTTTGAGGATTTTTACCCTCCATATTACAATGCATGGATTTTTACCCTCCATATTTTCGAGTTTGAGGAAATGAGGCAAAATTTAACATCGAAGCGTCACGTGTAGCACGCGCACCGTTGGCCTCCGTCAAGTGTGCACATGTCAACGCCACCTCAGACTTTTTTGACAACTTAGCATGCCAACTTGGACCCCCATGAGTGGGAAGTCTACATGCTACCAATTTTATTTGTGGGCCCCACCGCTGACTAAAGGTTAAAAAAAAAAAGAAAAAGACAGATGAATGCTAGGAAACCGTCCGACTCCAAGCATTGTGATCGAGAACAAAGAAAAGCTTCTATTAACCCCACAACCCAGAAAAGGACCACAGAAGGAAACAACTTTACTCCACCCACCAACCGAACGAATCTCCATTGAAGGAATAGAATAGCACATTCGAAAAGGACCACAAAGCACAGACGATTCTGACACTGTTCTTGGTGCCATTGACAGGAATTTTTCCTTTTATTCAAACAAAATCTTGTTGAACTTTTACTGATATTTAGCATACGGGTCATGGATTTGTGTTAGAAGTGATATTTAATTAAGATTTATGGTTTATTTAGGATTAAAATAGATTTAAGCAGTATTCGTCACTTTTTAGGGATTTAGGTTTCATGTAATTTACTTAGTAATTAAACTGAGAAGTTATATTTTTCTGTGTTCTTTTACTTTTTCTGTTAGTGTTGTTAGTGTTGAATTCAATTTCAATCATGATTGTATAAGTATTGAAGAAATTTTAGTTTAGGATTTATCTTATTATTGTAAATTAGTTATTTCTAAATCTAGAAAATTGTAATCTTGATTTATAGATTTAATGCTTAAATGTGTGTTAATTTATATTAATTTATATCTTTTTCTTCCCATATGACAGCAATGGGGACATTAAGAATTCACCATAGTGGCACCTTTTGCATGAGTAATAGTACGGATCTTAGGTATGCTGCAGGCGAAGTACATGATGAGGATATTGAATATCATCGTGTGACTTTGTCGTACTTAGAGGAGAGGGTAAAAAGCCTCGGATATATGCATTTTAA